ACGAACCTACCTATCAGTACCAACAAAATCTACCTACCAGCAAACCAACCTACCAACAAGCTAACTACTATCCAACCTACTTACCAAGCAACAACAACAAAATCTATCTACCAGCCATCTAATCAACCTAGCTATCGACTAAACTACTACTATTCAGTTACCGAACTACCCCACCTGCAAACCAACCTACCTATCAAGCAACATACCCATGTACTTATCAACTCACCTACTACTATTCAACCAACCTACCAACTAACTTATTACTATCCAACCAACCTACCAATAAACCAACATACTTATCAATAAACCTACTACTATTCAACCAATCTACCTACCAACAAACACACCCATCTACTTATCAACTATCTAACAAATCTGCCTACTAGCAAACCAACCAACATATCCACCTACCTATCAACTAACCAACCAACCTAACTACAAACTAACCTACTAATATCTAACCAACCTACCAACTAACTTACCTACCAGTAAAACAACCTACCTACCAACCAACATAAAAACTCAAGTACTAATATCTAACCGATCTACAAACTAATCTATTACTATGCAACCAATCCTCCAACAAACCAATCTACCTATCAACTAACCTTCTACTATCAAACGAACCCACCTACCAGTACCAACAAAATCTACCTACCAACAAACTAACCAACCTACCAACAAACTGATTACTATCCAACCTTGCTAGAAACTAACTCACCAACCAACTTGCTTACAAACTAACCAGCCTACAAACAAACTACCTACTATTCAATCTTTTTACCAGCCAACATACCTACCAGCAAACCAACCTAGCTATCGACTAATCTACTACTATCCAAATATACGTACCTACCCCCCTGCATACCAAGCAACATAATCACGTACTTATCGACCCACTTACTACTGTTAAACCAACCTACCAATAAACCAACCTACTGATCAACCAACAACTTATCAACTAAACAACCAACCTAATCACAAACCAGTCAACTTCCCAACCCATCTATTAACCTTCAAATCAATCAACCTACAGCAAACCAACCAGCATACTCACCTACCTATCAACTAACCTACCTACTACCTTACCCACCAACTAACTTACCTACAAAATAACCTACTACTATCCAACAAACCTACCATCCAAAACCCTACCTACCAGCAAACCAACCAACAGACCTACCTACAAACCAACCAACCGGCCTAGAAACTAACCTATCAATATTTAACCCACCTATCAACCAACTTACCTACTATCAAACCAACCAACATACCCACCTACATACGTACCAACCAACCAAGTACCTTACTATTATCCAACTAACTTACGTACCAGCAAACTAACTTACCAACCTACCAACTCACGTAATACTACCAACAAACATACAAATTAATCTATTACTATGCAACCAATCTCCCAACAAACCAATCTACCCATCAACTAACCTAATACTACCAAACGAACCTACCTACCAGTACCAGCAAAATCTACCTACCAGCAAAACAACCAACCTACCAACAAACTAAGTACTATCCAACCTTCCTAGAACGAACCCACCTACCAGCAAACAAACCAACTAACTAATAAACCAACCAACCTACCAACAAACTAACTGCTATCAAACCTTTTTACCAACCAACTTACGACCAGCAAACCAACCAACTTAGCAATCGACTAACCTACTATTATGCAATTACCCAAATTTACCCACCTGCAAACCACGTACGTATCAACACACATATTATTATTCAACCGATCTACCAACTAACTGCAACCAACATACCAATAAACCAACCTACTCATCAATAAACCTACTACTATTCAACCATTCTACCTACCAACAAACACACTCACCTACTTATCAACTATCCAACAAATCTACCTACCAGCAAACCAACGAACATACACACTAGCCTATCAACTAACTTACCAACCAACTATTTATCAACTACCCAACCAAACAACCTACCCACAAACCAGCCAACTTCCCAACATACTATCAACCAACCTACAGTAAACCAACCAACATACCCATCTATCTATCAATTAACCAACCAACCTATCAACTGTCAACTAACCTGATCCCAAACCAGTCAACTTTTCAACCTATCTATCAACTATCAAATCTACCAACCTACAGCAAACTAACTAACATACCTACCAAATAGCGTACTACTATCCAACAAACTTACCTACCGGCAAACCAGCCAATTACATACTATCAAACCAACCAACCCACCAGAAAACTAACCAACATACCCACCTACCTACTAACCAAACCTACCTACCGGAAAACCAACCTACCAACCAATAAACCAACATACCTATTAACTAACCTGCTACTATCACACCATCCCACCAAACAAACCTACCTACCAACTAACCTACTATTATCCAATTAACTTACTTAACTTAATTATTTTCACATTATATAGGGTGTCCATAAAGTTACAAAATTTTTTAAAATTGCTAAGAGGATTTATCAATACCATATATTATTTTAGACCTCACAGATTTATTAAAGGAAAACCAATAAACCAACCTACCAACTAACTTACCTACAAGCAAACCAACCTACCAACCTACCAAATCACTTAACACTATCCAACAAACCAATCTACCTATTAACTAACCTACTACTATCAAACGAACCTACCTACCAGTACCAACTAACCTACCTACCAGCCATCCAACCAACCTAGCTATCGACTAAACTACTACTATTCAATTACCAAACTAACTCATCTAGATATTAGTACTTGAGATTTTATGTTGGTTGAAAGGTAGGTTGGTTTGCTGCTAGAAAAGTTAGTTGGTAGATTGGTTAGATATTAGTAGGTTAGTTTGTAGTTAGTGGTTGGTTGGTAGGTAGGTTGGTTGGTTTGCTGGTAGGTAGGTTCAATTGGTAGGTGTGTTGGATAGTAGTAGGTTATTTGGTAGGTAAGTTAGTTGGTGGGTAAGTTAGTAGGTAGGTTAGTTGATAGGTAGGTGGGTATGTTGGTTGGTTTGCTGTAGGTTGAATAATTTGTTACTACCCACTAGATAGTAACAGGTTAGTTGGTAGGTAGATTTGTTGATAGAAAAGTTGAATAGTAGTAGGTTAGTTGATAAGTAGGTTGGTTGGTAGATTCGTTGACAGGTTGGTTGGATTAGTAGTACGTTAGTTGGTAGGTTGGTTTGTAGGTTCGTTTGCTTGTAAGTAAGTTGGTTGGTAGGCTGGTTAGATAGTAGTAGGTTAGTTTACATGTTGGTAGGTCAGTTGGTTTGCTGATAGGTAAGTTGGTCGATAAGCTGGTTGGATAATAGTAGGTTAGTTGGTAAGTAAATTGATTGGTAGGCTGGTTTGTATCAACTATTAGATTGGATAGCATTAGGCTAGTTAATAGGTAGGTTAGTAAATGGGTAGGTCGTTGGATTGTTGGTTGGTTGGTTGGCTGAAGATTGGTAGTTAGGTTTGCTAATAAGTCGATTGGTTGGTTGGTGGGCAGGTTGTAGGTAGGTTTGGTAATTTTTATATCGGTTGTTCCGTAGGTTGATTGTCAGTCAGTTTTTAGTTGGTACGGTAAAAGATTATTAGATTAGGTTGTTTGGTGTGTAGGTTGCTTGGTAATTTTTTTTTATTGGTTGATAGATTGATAAATGTGTTTGTCTAGTGATTAGTAGCGTGATTAGAATCTAGGTTAGTAGGTAAGTTGATAAGCTAGTGAGTTAACAAGTCCTTGTGTTGATTGGTTGTGAATTTAGTTTGTTGTTTAGTAGATAGTTGATTTATTAATAGGTTGATTTTTTCTCTGGTTCATCAATTGACTTGTTTATGAGCTGCATGGTAGGTTGGGGGTGTGTTTGAAGATTTGTTAGATATATGTAAAGAAGCGTTAGATGATTTGTTTTTGAGTAATTTTGTAGAATAGTTGTTTGGCTGACTAGATGGTTGGCAGATTGATACGTAAGCAGGTTGGTTGTTAAGTCAGTTATTTGTTGGTTGATTGGTAAGTAGCTTAGTTTGTTGCTTGGTGGCGGGATGCTTGGTTAGTTGGCGGATTCGCACTTAAGAACGCAAGTCAGTTGCTTGGTAAAGAGGTTAGAAAGTAGGTTGGTGGACTGGATTTGCAGAGTAAATTGTAGGTCAGTAGGTAGCCTATGTATGTTGGCTGGTTGTTTGGTAGATAGGTTGTTAAGTTTGTGAGTAAGTAGGTTGGCTGATTGGTAAATGTGTTGGTTGGTTGAGAGGCTGGGAGATGAGTTGGTCAGTTTGTTATTAGGTAAATTTATAGTTTGGTTGGTGATTAGGTTGGTTTGTATGTAAGTTTGGAGGTTAGTTAAGTGTCAGGTCGGTTAGTTTGTTGGTTCACAAGTAAGTTGGTTTATGAGGTCATAGTTAGGGTTGGGCATTTTCGAATACCTGATGATTTCAGAATCGAATTGAATAATTTTTTCGAATCGAATCTTGAAAGGTATGAAATTGTATGTAACTTTCTTAGTATTTTAGTTCCTCCAGACACATAAGTTACTGAAAACATAGAATACAGTACTGACAATTAAAAAAAAACACGTTTTCATCAATACCTCAATACAGAAAAGAGTCATGAGTCAGAATTGTGTTGACAAAATATGGCTTCGATGAAAAAAAAATTGAGAAATTTACCTCGACCATTGGCGGAAAAAGTAAAACAAGATGGCGGCGATTTGAACATTTGCTCTAAACCATTTCGAATTATTTACTATTCGATTCGAAATGCCCAGCACTAGTCATGGTTGGTTGATTGGTATTTTAAGGGGTATGTCAGGTCCGATAATACCCATTTTCAATTACTGAAAATTTGAAATGATTGGTTGATTAGTTATGAAAAGCAATATGCGATAAGACTGTAGCAAACAGAGTTGTTACATTGAACATTTTGGGAGCATAGAATGTCATCTCTCCACTTGTCTCATCAACTTTCCCCAACACAAGAAGACTTGGCCTTACTTCCAATTCACAAGTAATCATCAGCACACATCTGAATATCATCGATTATATTAAAAAGAACAAAGACCTTTTACAACATATACAACACGACGAGCAAAAAAAAACAATGTTTAAATATATGAATACGAAGTTCACACATACACGTACAATAAAGCTGAACACCAAGTTTGCTGAAAAGATCGCCGGACAAGTGTGATGGAATATAAAGTTTCCAATAATTAAAAAAAAACAGTAAAAGTTTTGGGTGATAAATAAGGATTCAAGAGCAAAAGTAATAGGATACAAAGGTTTTCTCTGCAAGTGGTGTAAATTTTAAATCTTCTAAATCCAATGGTGAACCAGTTAGGGAGAAAAGCAATACCCAGCAATAGGCGATCCAACTGTAGCGCTCCATGTACAAATAGAGTTGTTACATTGAACATGTTGAAAGCATGGAATTTCATCTCTTTATCGACTTTACTTAGCACAAGAGAGACTGACCGACCTATTTCACTTCAAATGCACAAGTAATCAACACAAACCTGAACATTATCAATTATATTAAAAAAGAACTTTTACAATAGACGCAGCAAAATGTAAAATACAAAACAATATGCAAAAAAAAGGGACAGTCAAAAATATGGATACAAAGTTTGAACATAGCAGTGGCTGAGCCACAAAGTTTGGTGAAAAAATGGCAGACAGGCGTGATGAAACGACAGTGTTCCATTTTTTATTAAAAATATTCCCAAAGATCAAAATTAGGGTCCCATAGTGCTAGAAACATAAGTCGGAGTTGGTCGTCCTCATTCTAAAAATAATTTAAAAGATATACTAAACAATAACAATCAAAATGTTGTACTCCATGTACAATGGTGTGATATAATAATAAAGTGTTTTATATTTCATGAAAAGTGTTCCCAATGAATAAAATAAAACCGTATAACTTTGGGTCAAATGGTACTGGAAAACAAAAGTATAGGCATTTTAGCCAAATCTCAATTACCGGTAAAGATAATTTAATGATCCAAATATTGTGCTCCATGTACAAAGAACAATATTGTGGGGCTAGGAAGCATTGATTGTTATCTATCTCTCCACTTCCTTGTCTCATCAAATTAACCCAGCACAAGGAAACTTGCCATCAAGACTCACCTTCAAATTAACACACATTTGAACATCACCCGTTATATTGAAAAAGAACTTTTACAATAGCTGCAGCAAAATGTAAAATACAACACAATAGCAAAAAAAGGTGCAAAGGTTAAATAAGTAAATGAATATGAAGTTCACACATGCTGGTATGGCGAGGCTTAAGCAGTGACCGAGCGAGCACCATGTTTGCTGGAAAGATTAGGGAACAAGCATGATTGAATGAATACAAGACTTAAAGTAGTACAGGTAAGCAACCTGTCACAGTAGACAGTAGTAATTTTGATAACCTCATTTCAGATTAAAATGAATTCCTTGAAAGCCTACAGAATTTTTTTAAATAAATAGAAGTAATAGTCTTCTAGCAAAAAATACAATCTTTCACCACTGAAAATTTCAAAGGAATTGGCCCAACAAGAATCCTAACGACATAACAATAACGATCCATGAAATGAAACAGCATCATTTCGGGTAAAGCAATAAGGTCACATAGGACTCAAGAACAAAAGGGACAGCAATTCTAGCAACCTCAGCCATCTTCAGAAGGAGGTCACAAGCCCTAAAAGATTGGGAACTTCTGGGCTAGAGTAACATGTGAAGCCTTTTTTATAGTGGTATACCAAAGACGGCTGATGAAAAAGTTAGTTATCGCTTCATGTTAGAATACATATGAACAAAAATTAATAATTGCGAATGCGAGAGACAAATTCTACACTGGAAGATCGTGATTTGTGATGTTTCGATGATTTTTTTCTGTGTCTCTTTGATTTGTGATTGTGATCATCTTCATGAGAAGATCTAGATTCACGGTGATGTTTCGTGAGGCTGTCCGATTCACCATGATGTCGTGATCTTTTTTTGTGAGACTTTCGTGAGTGTTTCTTCTTTTTATGTAAAGATGAACTTCTATGCCGCTGAGGTTCTTTAGCATTTGAATTCACCAAAAACTGATCATGAGTTCGTGAATTTCTCTGTGAATTCAAATCACTAGAATGAGATCGTATTCTTTCACGATTTTCCGAGCTAGATGAAGAAGTGAAGCTATAATTTGGTGAATTCAATTCACCGTGAATCTGAGGAGATTCTTGGTTGTTCTGAAATTCATCTCTTGAACGGCTACGCTGTGAATTTTCCACTTCATAAGGCTTCGCAGAATAAATTTCCAACGGTGTTCGTTTTGTTTCCATTCCCACATCGATCTCCGAGTCAGAATCCGAACTATATAGCGGAATTCCTTTCATTCCAGGTATTTCAAAATTAATCGTAACTTTTCCTTTTTCGAAAATTTTCTTCGGGTTCTGCTTGTCAGCACTTTGTGATGTCACAGAATTGCTTGCAGTTTGTAATGAATCCATTGCATTGTCTGATGACATCATAGGAGATAAAATCACAGGAGTTGATGATGTCATAAGTGGGGTTGGTGAGGTCACAGGCCGAGTTGGTATTGGCATAGCTTCAGGTGAGTGATCACTTGGTGAAATAAATGGTTCACCAGAGAATTCTGTGTCATCGACAGGAGTTACCGTGGCAATAGAGGGTATTGTGACATCATCATTGCTATGGGAACGAGATGCGTTTCGTGCTCGATTCAAAAAATCTCTCGTTCTTTGTAAAACATCTCTGTGACCATATGATCCAGTGGATTTCCGGCGACGATTTCTGAAAATTAGGAGATTGACGGTTATGGTATTTAGTCCAAGAATCTCGTATCAGAGTGATCACTAGGGTGGGCACGGTTTTTGGATCAGGGGCCAAAAATTTAGCCCATCTAGACAGGTGGGCCATGTAAGTGTGACGTAAAAAGTTATGTTTTATGAACAGTATTTTCAGTGTTACAAAAGCAAAAGTGGAAAACAATAAGTCTCGCGCCAAGAGTAAAATTAATCGCAATCTCAGCAAATTCCTTGAACTATTTTAAACTATAACATCAAAATTTAGTTTCAGTTTGGTTGTGGCAGCATCAGGCAGGTCAGATTGAATTCACAATGGGCCTGATTTAGCCCGTGGGCCGTAATTTGCCCATGCCAGACGTATCAGCTAAGTGTATTGGTATTTCAGGTTACACATCCTGGGTTCGATTGGGATGCCGAGCTAGAAAGACTCAAGTCACTTCAAATTATAAGAAGCTCCACGCATACAAGAGACTGCTTGTAAAGAGCCTTGTTTGGAGCGAAGATTGTGAATGAGCGGCGTATATCAACAAATATCTCAAAGTATCTGGCAAAGTCAGTTCAATTTACGAGGCCTCTTATAAGAATGCCTATTATTTATTGATTACCGGTACCCAGTAACCAGTGATTATATTCTAATTGGGTATTTTAAAAAAAATACAGACACATGGTAGCAAAATTTTGATTTTTCAGAAATTGAATGAGAGCTGTTTTGGCTATACTTAAACTAGCCTGAGTTACAATTCACCAAAAACGTTTAAAACCCCTGGTCTAAAGCTATTTTGGTGTAAAATAATACATACTTTGAATCGGGATTCCTTTCATCTGAAGATGACTCTTCACTGCTGGAAGATGACGACGATGATGTCACAATAGGCTTAGGTTTCTTGTTTCTGTCCTCATAATAGCCCCCTCTTGTGCTTGGTCCTGGTTGATCTTCATCTGTTGAGCTGATGTTTATAAATGCCTCAGGGGTGCGAAGGTGGGGGGGTTTCACATACCTGAAAAAAATTCATCCCAATATTCACTGTGTCCTAATACAACCAAAGGCTACAATTTTACAATTCGAAGAAATAATGTGTAACATTTCTTAACTTATTGTATGTGACTGATTACACAATACAATACTTTGATATTAGTTGAGGGTATAAAATGGAACACATTATCTAGATCAAGGGTTATCAAACTTTTGGTGTTATGAAGCACGTGATGAGGGGGTATAAGGCAGACATGGGCAAAATTCAGCCCGTTGGGTAATTCAATCTGGCCAGCCTGATGTTGCCACAACCAAACTAAAACCAAATTTTGATATGTTTTGGCTAAAATAGCTCAAGGAATTTGTTGAGCTGGCGATTAAATTTAGTTTTGGCACGAGGCTTGTTGTTTTCCCATTTATGCTTTGTAACACTGTAAATTTTGTTTATGAAATGTAACTTTTTGCGTCACACTTACATGGCCCGCCCGACTAAGTGGGAAAATTTTTTGGTCCCTGGTTCAAAAATCTTGCGCACCCCTCGTATGTGTGGGAGACACACATAGCAGTTTTTGGCAGTGTGAACACTTTTGGAACCTCGGGATTTATGAAAGCCAACTTTTTCCAGCCTCCAGTAGGATTCACTAGCTGGTAACACTGCTTCATCAAGAACTTACTTGACGAATTCAATCTCACTGTCTTCGGAATCAGAATTCGCAGAAGCCGAGTCATGCTTTTGTGACTCGGAACTATTTTCTATCTTGACCTCCATAGGGATTTGATCATCTGCCGTAGATTCAGCGTTACTTCGCGATGTTCCGGCTTCTGTCGGATGATAATGAAGCAAAACTGGACTTCTGCGTCTGAAATCACGGTCTGATGGACCTAAGAAAACGAAACATTATTTTTCACATTATATAGGGTGTCCATAAAGTCTTACATTTTTAAAATTGCGAAGGGAGTTTATCGATACCATATTGTTTTTGGCCTTCAAAGATGTATTAAATGAAGTAAAATACTTGGACACCCTTAACAAGGTAACAAGAGCTCACTCAGTATTAAAGGGAATAATCCCAAGCACGGGGCTACAGGCCACTAAAATGCCATGAATTGATAAGACTGTAAATGAATGTAGTGTGGGATTGCGTTGCTTTCTGGGTATAAATACTGCAATGCCGATCTCTAAAGATACTACTAAAAGAAGGAAAATCGGGATAAAATTATAACCTGAGCCTAACCTGGTACCCACACTACGGGAGTACCCACTTTAGTAAATATGTAAGCGGGAGATTTACGTTCCGTAATCGTCGTCAATCTCTTAATTTTTAAAATAAATTATCATGTCATAGAAAATCCACTGGATAACCAACCTGGTTCCTGTTCTTTGTCGCTTGAATCAGACGAAATCACGATGACTTCTGGTGGGTCTGGTTCACGGATGGTTTCAGATCCACCAAACGAAACGGCTTTGACCAATTTACGAGATTCTTCCAATCTTCGACGTCGAGAATGACGATCGAAACTGTAAAATGATAAAAACGGTGAAGATGGTCCAGTGCAGTTGTTTCCCCCCATAAAGCCCCGATTGGGTTCAGCAGCCCCCTAGTGTTCCGACAATGCAGTGATTTCCCCCCAGTTCAGCGTCCCCCTAGTGTTCCGATAGTACAGTGGTTTCCCCCCGTTCAGCGGCCCCCTAGTGTTCAGACAGTGCAGTGGTTTTCCCCCCCGGTTCAGGGGCCCCCTAGTGTTCCGATAGTACAGTGGTTTCCCCCCCCCGGTTCAGCGGCCCCCTAGTGTTCCGACAATGCAGTGATTTCCTCCCAGTTCAGCGTCCCCCTAGTGTTCCGATAGTACAGTGGTTTTCCCCCCAGTTCAGCGTCCCTCAAGTGTTCAGACAGTGCAGTGGTTTTTCCCCCCCGGTTCAGGGGCCCCCTAGTGTTCCGATAGTACAGTGGTTCCCCCCCCCCCCGGTTCAGCGGCCCCCTAGTGTTACGACAATGCAGTGATTTCCCCCCAGGTCAGCGTCCCCCTAGTGTTCCGATAGTACAGTGGCTTTCAAACGGTGGGGCGCACCCCTCAAGGGGGAGTAGTCAATTTTTTAGGAGGCATGAATCCAATTCGAAACACAAATATTTGTTAAGTTTATTCTTGCCAGGCTTATTTTGGATTTTTAAGTTCCATCCATGTTTTCTCAACGTGTTCAACCTATTTTTGCCTTAGTATCCGTTATTTATGGCTCATTTTTAGCTAGTTATTTTGAGGTGCGGCGCAAGACTTCACAAGTTCTCGTTGACAAAAAAGGGGTGCAACTTAAAAAGTTTGAGAAGCACTGGAAGATTCAATTAAAATACAAGAGTTTAATGTTAACTTACATATGTTGTTTAAATTTAATCAAATATCAAATATGTCAGACACTGTTGATAGTGTATACAATTCAGCAAATGGAAGACAATTAATGGACCTCCTGAAGTATGCGCACCAAGATGGTGCACAACCTGAACTCAGGTTGTGTACCAGCTTAGGGTTCAGGTTGTGCGACATCTTGGTGCGCATACTTCAGGAGTACCCAATTAACTTTCGTACAGGGGTTCCCTGGAGCCTATGTAGTGTTTCATGTGGCGTTCCGCGTCGCGACGCCCAGTTCAAGAATCATGGTGTTACGTGATCAATGCTATCTGTTATGTACTTGGACAACTAAGGCGTGAGTGTTATCTACCGGCGCTTAAAATTAAACAGCGTTGTGACAAAAACCCTTCTTATTTCCTATTGTTCTCTACCAATGAAAAATCAGCTTTTACATTGGGTGGGTATTCAAGCACCGTCCCTTATTTATTTCTATGTTCTGTTCACACAGGCGGCTATTCAAACGTGCCCTCAATCAAGATCAAGCATATACGGTATTTATGAAGCCCCACCATAAGTTTATATAAAAAAACACATTGCTTTTCACCTATTTTTGTTCCTGGGTAAATTAAAATATTGAATCTTAGATAATTTCATATCTGAGTAACCAACCAACTTGTTGACACAGTTAACTTTACCGTTGTAAAATTTTATTAAGGCCTTCTGGTCCGAGATATGATGAATGCACATGCAAAATTTGGAGCAGATTCAACCTCGCTTTCGTGAGATATCGCGTGCGTCTAACAGACGGACAGACAAACACCTATCAAAATACTTACCGATCGAGATTGAGAAGTAACAAAAATAGGATATAAAAAGGATAGTAACCAAACTACAGATACTAATAACTTACTGTCTTCTGTAGACTTCCATTCGATCATAATGTCTCGCTGATGAACCACCGGGACGATGTAAATCTATTGATTGATGAACCAGCGGGGCTTCTACCTCACGACTGAAAAAATAAGAAGAAATCGGATGTTAAAAAATTTTCTGTACAATGAAAGCAAGATACAGCTATTGTTACGACAGATGCCTGTTCATAGATGAATTTATGAGCAATTCCTGTTTTTATGCATTAAAATTGAAGTCGTTCGAGGACCACAAAAAAATTGTCGCAATTTGCCGACCACCGTTTTTTTTAATAGGCTAGTAAATAGACTTATCAAACTTATGTAGGGCATTTTTTACGTCTTATGTTATCATAATATTAGGTTGTATATGGAATATTCGGATTACGAATCCTTTTCTTGTGAAAAACTCCCAAGGGGTTAGGGGGAATCTACCCTTTCTATATATGGAGAGGGCAGAAGGATTCCATTTTTTAGAGAAGGGAAATGAAGAGCTTTAATCAAAATAAGCAGAGGAGGAAATTTAGTGAAAAAGGTGAAACCACCGATTTTGCATTAAGAGATAGGGGGACCTGGAATCGTTTTTATACATAAGAGAGGAATAAGGAACATTAATTAAACTAGTCAAAGGAAGGAATTAAGCAAAAAAAAAGGTTTGAACTGCAATAATACTCACTCAATTGTCGGTGGTCTGTTCATGTATCTCATCATGCGGGAATACGGAACATTCCACTCTGGAGCCGCGACGGGGAAGTCCCTGGGAGGGGGAGGAGTAGGGTAAGCATCATACGCACGATTACTTGATCTTGGGTAACTCAATGTTGATGTTGAACTGGATGGGGGGTACGGGGCATTGGATGGGGGGTATGTTGTCCCCAAATCTTCCCCCCATGAAGTATTGGACAGCATGACAGATTGGCTAGTGGGTTCACCTGTAATAAAAAAAAATAATTTTAATTCAGTAAAATTTTTTTTTTTGTAAAAAATTTGGATAAAAATTGTGCAACTTGGGAAACGCCAGACGACGGTGTGGCTCATCGTTAGGAATACGCTCGACACCACACCTCTGATTACTCTGTGTGAGTTCGCAGGTTCTAATCCCAGCCGGGGATAGTTATGTGCGAGATGATTGCTGGACTTCTTGCGCCGTTGGGTGGTTCACGTAACCGTTGGTTGAATGGTGACCGTTACGTTGAATGGTAACCGGATGAGAGGTCGTGGTTCGCCAAAAGGTTAAGCCGTCACATCAGTTTTTCTCTCCCCACAGGATAAATATGTAAATCCTATTTGAAATAGATTGTGCTGTTAGTTGCGAAGCAAAATGATTTTTCACAAAACAACAATTTAGTAAACTCGGTCCAAACTATGTCCACTTGGTGTCCAAAAAAAACTAACCAGGGACGTTATTTGCTGCATCCGGACTTTCCTCCCATCTGATAATCCTGGTGGGGTTTCTACTTCGCCTCCTTCTTGGAACAGTAACAGAATCTCTACTGCCCCCACCTGACCGTCGTTGTGATTCTTCGCTCGTAGATGTAGAATCATATTGAGCATGCCTGCATGATGAATCGAGTTAGTTTTGAGCAGGTTCATGTCTATGAGTCATCCTCGCATATAGGCCGGGTTCAAAACGCAAAAAAAAAGTGGTCAGCCGATAGGAACATAAATCTGATCGCATTAAAAAGTCGGCCTGTACTCGAATAACTTTTATCGCATAATAATGGTTTTCATTTCATCAATTCTCTTTCACAACCACATTCTGTGATAAGTGCATACGGCGTATTATGATTTGTATGGTCGACATATATGTGAATTTTTGAATTCACTGTTTCAGGGGGTTGGCTTATATGTGAGACCAGCTCATAAGCGAGGCTGAGGGAGCAGGCAATAAATACAGGCTCTGAGTTACGAGCCATTTGAAAAGCAACATTAGATGAGAGTCACAGATATACATATGGGTTGATATATATTTCCACACTGGAGTCCGAATTCAAGTTGGGGAAGATCAAGTTTAGCTCTGAGCATCAAGAAATGGAAAGTAGCCAGGGGGGTTTGGGGGGGAGAACCCGCATTTTGAAGAATTTTTTTATACCCTCAGGACTACTTGAAAACTCAGATTTTTAATGGTCTTCAGCAGTATCCACAAGCTATTATGGTCCAACTTGGACCTTCTTTAAAAATTCCCTTTTTTTTAATTTTGTCTCTTTAATTGGTTATTATTGGTGACTGGCCTAGTTGGATAAGATGTGCCATTTCCATTTGTGAGTCTATTTTTTGTAACGAGATCACGCAGAAATGTAATTGCCCAATCCCAGAACTGTAATAAAATAAAATATACCTACTAACCTATCATATTGCACCATATCGTATGGTGATTTAGCAAAAGACACAAATTCATGAACAAATTGTGCAGTGTGTTCCAGCATATACGGCTGTATCGTTGAATAAAAAGTCGGTGATGTCATTCCAATTGTTGTCACAGCAGACATTATTAGGTCCCGAACACGTCTGATCAAAAGCCTGAAATACAAGATAGAATTTTACAAGAAAATCAGTGCGCCCAAAGTATGCACGAAGATGGCGCACAACCTGGAACATAGTATGCGTACCAAGTTAGGATTCAGTTTGTGCGTCATCTTGGTGCACATACTTCCGGAGCGGCAAAAAATCTGCTCAAAGCAATGTCTGGCGCACTCACTCAAAAGCAGAGGTTTTTGCACCAAGTTACTGGCTGCAACTGCCAATGACGAGATCTAATTAGACAAAAGTTATTTTATTTGATGCTCCAAAGTATGTGCACCAAGATGGCGGACACCGGAACACTCAAGTATCGAGGCGAAAGACGACTTGTTCGAAAGAGTATTCCCTTCTGCTGAAGGTAGCGTTCTTGTAATTTTCGACTTGATTGACGAGAAAACGACGATAAATTGACAAAATATGACATACACCATTTAAGTTTGGGCAAGTACGTTAGAGCATATATTACGTACCAAATACAAGTTTCGCTGCTGCCAAGCTCCAGAAAAAAAAAGCTGAATATTGTGTGTCTTGACTGACAAACAATAAATTTTGCAACATGCAGAGTTATTGTCTCACTCCAAAAGCAGAGTGTTTAATTTTAAAAGAAATTTTCATTTAAAGAGAATTCATTCAATTTATAAAAGCTGCAACCCTACCTGTTATGAGCACCATAAAGAACAGTCAATTCTCTTCTCAACCAAGGTTCAAGTCTGTGCATTTGACTCGGATTTTGGCGATAAAATTCAGCGGAAATATCTCGAACTCTGTTCCCAGTATCAACACGATGAACCTGGATGAGAATTGTATCGGTTTTAAATTTATCTATGCTTACAAAATGACTTGACATGTTTACCTGGTCATAACAGAAGGATATGAAAACACAATGACAACTTTTAAAAATAATTGAATATGTCCGCATTTCCCAAATGGAGAGGGAATTCCCCAGGAGGAAATTTGCATGAAGAAGTAGATTAAAGCAACGTTTTAAGGTACTCCTGTAGTGTGTGAACCAAGATGGCAGACACCAGAACGTAGTATGTGTACCAGATTAGGGTTAGGCCATAATTCAAGGTACAAATACTACGGGGGTCACCTGGCTAGTCCCTGACCTCGTAATAGAACTAAAATAAGAAAAATTGGAATAAATATATTTTAACCCTAACTTGGTACACGTTCCTTTGTCCGCCTTCTTGGTTCACATACTACAGAAGTACCATATAATCAGTAAATGTCTCCAAACAAAGTTACGGCTGGATTCTTGTTAAAAGTTAAAGTTGAAATATAAAAACCAAATTACCTTTTTTTTGTTCCAGTAATGCATTCTTCTCTCCCGTATGAGACCTACATTGCTCAAAGCTTCTCGGGCAGCCAGGCTGTTCTCACGTCTTCTGAAATAATATTTAATCAATATAATATAAATAGTCTCGAGTTGAAATACAAGGCTTACTCCAAAACTGACATGGGCAAACTAAACTAATTCAATCTGCCTGCCGGATGCTGCCACAACCAAACAAAACCAAATTTTGATCTTCCATCCAATAAATAGTTTAAGGAATTTGTAAAATTGCGATTAAATTTAGTTTCGGCACGGGGATTATTGTTTTCCACTTTTGCTTTCGTAACACTGTAAATATTGTTCATAAAATGTAACTTTTACATTACACTTACATGGCCCGCCAGTCTAGATGGGCAAAATTTCTGTCCCCCGGTTCAAAAATCTTTCCCATCTCTGCCCTAAAACCGCGAAGATAAGGCCACAAATAACAGAGGTTTCATGAATAGTTTGAAAAGAAAAAAAAATTCGAAGATTGGAGAGAAAAATTTAAAAAAAAATTAGGAAACCACAAATTTCTCTCTCTGCCTATTTCAGGACTCTTATTTTGGCGCTCCATAAGTATGTCAACCAAGATGGCGGACACTAGAACATAGTATGTGTACCAGGTTAGGGTTGGGCCATTATTTTATTTCAATTTTCCTCATTTTAGTTTGGGGACTAGCCAAGTGACGGCCGTAGTATTTGTACCTGAAATTATGGCCTAACCTAAACCTGGTACACATCATATGTTCCGGTGTCCGCCATCTTCATTCACATACTTTGGAAGTAGCCTTCATTCCTCCATCCTTATACGTAAGAAAGGGAGGATTTCGTTCTATATCCACAGGTTCTCAACACTTGACATGGTATCACCAACTTATATTATCAGTAAACATGAAAACACACTGCACAGTAGAACAGTTACAAGACAAATACCATGTTTTACAAGAACAGTCAAGGACATTAAACACAGATGCCACTATAGGGTATATTACGTTATATTGTAACAGGGAGGTGCATAACATTCTTCGAGGGGATAATTAAAAATTCGAACACTTGTTAGATTTGATCTTGTTCACCTTATGTTCACATTCCTGCATTTGGATATTTACTTTCCATCCATGTATTTTCAACATGTTCTATAAGACATACTTTTGCCTTACTATCTGTTATTTGTAGCTTATTCTTAGTTATTTATTTTCGAGGTGGGACGCAAAACTTGACAAATTTTAAAAAAGGGGCAAATTAGAAAGTTTGAGAAACACTGCTCTAACGCTTATTATTTTTATTTCATACCTTCTTTGTTGATTTCTGAACTCCAACATCCTGCCGTGCCACCAGTTGTCAAAGGATTCAATGTTGATCATTCGATACGATGAATTAGGGAATTGGTATCTGGAATAGAGTTGAATATAGAATTGAAACAGTAGTCGGCGAACTGCGGCCCCGAGCCAATTGCGACCCTCAAATATTTTTTCAAGGCCCACGAACGACCTCACTTTTTATGTACAAAAAAAATCTCACTTTTAACGAAAAAAACAAAAAGTTGAATATAGATTTAAAACAGCGACTAAGCGTGTGGGCCAAATGCAACTCACAAACAACTATTTTATGGCCCATTCATGCTGTAATGATGGCTTGGCTTGTACGACGTTTGTTTTGTAGTAGCATAAACAAAAGTACATGTCAGTTATATACCGTTTACTTTACTAGCCGTTGTATTTAACACAGAAACGGTTGGAAATCACAATGACTCCTCACAGTGGTGAGATAAAAAATTTTAGGAACTAGTTTTTTTCAGGATTTAGGCAAGTTTCCTATGATTTCCCTTCACAAAATTTTAGCCGCCTTCATTACAAACCTTGTTTCGGCAGGTCGCTGTTGTACATGGTATTCATGGAACTCTGTATCACTCTTTATATCGTAATAGATCGTACGTATTGGCATCTTGCAGAGAGGACACTCAGCCTGGAATTAGAATAAATTAAAAGTTAAATGATAGAATGAATTCAGAGCACAAAGTTGGGTAAATCATCACAATTGCCATATTGACGCAGTAAAAGTGGCTGTGTCACATTTTTTAATCCTCTGCCATTGTGGACCATATCTTGGTCAGGTATCTGTTTTAGGTCTGATTTTAGGTAGTTCCCATATGGGCTATTCCAAGTGACACTACAGGACAATTCCAGAAATTTTGTATGTGGTTAAATTCAATATACTTTCACATTTTCAGCTACATGTTTTGTTTCATTGTCCAATCAGTTGCTTTATTGAATATGTAAAAAATTGCGCAAAAATTACACCCAACCTTACTCAGTAGATAAAAAAAATATAGTAAAATATAGCGTGACACTACAGGACGGCAAATCCACCATGCACTAACTGTACATTGTGTTTTGCTGTAAATTTTTGCGATGGTACAGTAGGAGCCCATAATATTTTCTGGTGCAGTAGCTGAACTACCCCTCTATGTGTTGCTCAAGTGACTTAATGTAACACTGTAAATCCATGCCAAGAATGTGCATATTGTATGTGACATGTTTAAATTGAAGGTGAAAAATTCGGTGCTCCCGAAGTATGCGAACCAAGATGGCGGACATCGGAACGTAACATGGGTAACAGGTTAGGGTTAGGCGATAATTTTTTCCCAATTTTCCTTATTTTAGTCCTATTATCAGTTCGAAGACTAGCCAAGAGCCTCCCGTAGTATTTATACCTAAAATTATGGCCTAACCCTAACCTCAATAACCAGACTTAACTCTTATTTACCATATTCTACAACAATGCCTAATACACACCCTTAATTTGGAAATGAAAGTAATCTTCAGAAATTCGGTAATAAAAACTAAGGTCTCCAGTGCAATCAAATTAAAGCTGCTTAATGAAATGGAAAACTACTGCATTTTGTTTTATCAACCCTTGTTGGGTATGGGGTTAGTTAACCAGTTGTTTGTTTAAGACCTTGAATGGATTTGAGGGTGGAGGAAGCCGCAACGGAACAGTGGTTATGTGAACCACCCCACAACATGTCATGCCAATCATTTTACACGCACCTATCCCACATAGGGGAATCGGTATAAATAAAATTTGATATAGAAATAACATACCTTCTGTTTTGACCAAGTTTTCAGGCAAATGAAGCAAAAGAAATGAGAACAGGATTCACTTTTAGCTGGATTTTCAGGAGGTGCCAGACAAATTGGGCATCTGGATAGAGAAAAACATTATGTAAGAAAATGTTGGCAATTTTGTTTTTATTTGGTCAACAAAAGTTGAGGTAAATTCCTTAATTTTTTGTTGTGAACCCATATTTTTGCAATGCCATTCTGACATATGACTCTTTCCTTTCTAATTAGTTATTGATGAAATAGGTTTTTTATTGTGTGCAAAGTGAACTGTCTGAGAGATGAATTCCATGTTTTCAGTAATTTATCTGGTCTGGTGGACCCATCCCAATAAAAAAAAATTCATACAGGTGAATATCTTTTGTGTATTCAAGATTAAATTTGAATCGAAAAAAAAAAAATTTCGATTAGATTCTGAAATTTTCAGGGATCAGAAAATACCTAGAAGTTCATAAGTTTGATTTTAGAAATAAGAAAGATTTCGTTTGATTCAAATCTGTGAAATATGTTTCTTTCCATTTTTTTTCACTTAGTAATGGGTGGAGTTAAATTTAATTATATCGAATACTGTAGTTCAAAATGTATTTAGAATAGTGTATTATTTGCATTCCACTATCGCTGTTATCAAACAAACATTGAAAATATTAAAAAGAATGAAATTGATTATAACAATTATTGAATCAATAAAGCAAAATAGCAGCATCAGAACTTTAACATTTAAGCATGAATATTCTGCCCTTTCATGCTACAGTGATTATTGTGATGAAGACATATTATATTCACCTGGCTGGAGACGACTCCCCTTCTTTTTTATCGCTGTCTTTTGTTGTTGTTGCTGCTTCCTCCATGTCCATTCCAACAGCCTTCCCTTCCGAAGAGTGATGGCTTGATGCCGACATTCTCCGACGTTTTGGAGACTTCACCATTTTGCCAAAGTTTTGCCCCTAGTGTAATTACCAAGTTGTAAGCCCAGAGCATAAGTGACCGTGCCAAAATATGTTCTACTTATTTTGATAAACCAGTTATCAATGTTTATTCCTGATAAATAAAGACATTTTTATGTGCAAATTTGTAGCTTACGTTATCATTGATTTTGTTTACATTCTGACTTCAATATCAAAAAACTATTGGAGCATGACTGGTCGGTAAAAACTCATTTAGATATAAATGTGACAGTGCTGTCAAGTCAAGGTAATTTTTTCCAACCAGTAAATACATAAAAAACCAATGAACACATAAAATACAAAAAAAAAATGAAAATTACAGTTTTACTGGGGAAGGGAAGTCACAAGGAACCAAAGCTGGATATCGAGCAGTGACACGGTGACACCCAGGGTTCAAATTTTTAATTTGAAAAAATTCAATTTAGAGTATTCAGGTATTCTTTTACCCACTGAACCAATCTTTTTTTTTTTTTTGTCTTAACATATTACTGTTTTAGGATGTACCGTAAAAGCGCCTAACTTCAAACAGTTCCTAACTTCAGACAAAAATTTTGAACGACCATATCTTGGCTAAAAAGCGCCCTATATTGCCAATTTTTTATCATAGGTAGCGTTGTTATATCTACACCTATTCTCAACTTTTTTAATGTTGCATAAATACTTTTTTTGTTAAAAACGGAAATTTTGCTGAAATTAGACTGCCCGGCATTCAACGGCGTAGAGCGTCGCTTCTACTTAAGCTGTCGTCATCAAAATACCATCATTCGGTAGAGGGCGATAACAATGTATATAATTTATCAGAGTGATTGCAAGATGTTGTACAAGATTTAAATAAAACGTGAAATATAAATTCTGTAAGAATATTGAGATTTCACGCAGCGTCAAAAGTTACGTCAACCTCACGTAGATCATTTTCAGCTCACGACCGAGACTCGCAGTGAACAATTAATTCAACCCCCAACAAAAATACAAATATGTTTACAAGATTAAGTTGAACTTTGAATTGAACTTTACAATCGTTAAAATATTTCATTGTAGATTGGAACGGTTTGCATCAGATATATTTACGTATGTATTTCCTGATTAAAATGACTAACATGGTATTGTGCTATCTGACGTAACAAAAATAACGAATGAAAGATGTAAACATAGGATGACGGAAGTTTCAAATAATGCATTTACACCACGACGTTGCATTACGACGCCGATCGAGCGTCTTATCTTCACGCATCGACGTGATTACGTCACCCGCATCGGAAGCATCTTTTTCTCTGTGCGTCATGATTACGCAGTGAGGAAAATTACTGTTGGAAGTTAGGGCAGTGAAGGATAACGGTCACATAGCAAGAAAAATTGATTATTTCAATTATAAAAATAGTCCAATCAACACGAAATTTGCAGGTAATGTGAATTACCTCACCGTCTTACCGAGCAATTTTGGTGTCGTTTCGACAATAAATGGCCCAATTATTGAAAAAAATATGGACATTTTGTCCGGAATTAGGCACTTTTACAGTACAGTTAGTAAAATTTCCCAATCCATAGACCAGAAACTGAGAAATAAAACATGAAAACTACGGTACCGGTATCCCAGTATTTTCATTCTTAAATACAGGTATGCTACCGGTACGCGGTACCGGTATCAGAATGAATACTGGGATACTGTACCGTACTAGATAGGTACCGGTACGGTAGGTTACCTGCATAGCATACGGTACTACCAGACTACTGTACCCAGCAAACACCGATCACTGGCAGACTGGATCAACTGAACAGCTGACTTCTTGGCAAATGTAACAACAAAAACACTGAATCACGATGTGCAACTTCTGGTCACATCTTGAGCAAAACTTGGACTCCTGCTCCACCGGATTTGCCCCAGCGGGACTCTTTCTAACCTTTTTCGATCAATTCCTATTTTTTTTAATCAATAAATTAATTTTATTTTCTATTTTGAAACTTTTCATTCTTCCTCAATATCAAATTCCGTTTTCCGATAAATTTTACTGGGCCATTAGCAGGAAATATTAGCCGGCTCGACGGAGTGGCCATCGCACCCCTGATTACCCTGCAATTCCGTGGGGGGGGGGGGGTACTGGTTTTATATGCGAGAGGATTGCTGAACTCCTCACCGCCGTGGGGTGGTTCACGTCCCCGCCGGTCGGCTACGGCATTTTCCACCACCAAGCCCATGCATCTGGCCTGGCATCCGGACGAGAAGTCGTGGTTCTTCATATGATTAAGTCGTCTTATCATTTAGCTGTTTCCTATTTTTCTAATGACCGTAGCGTCATTTACACAAGAGAAATCTCTCTTTTAAGTGCTATGACCTGTAACCGGACGAGAGGCCCTGGTCTCCTTATGGTTAAGCCGTAGCCGTCTTATCGGCTTTCCTCTGCCATGGAATAAATATGTAAATCCTATCCTATTTCATATTTTGTAACGGTTTTTATGTTTATTTTGCTGCAAACGGCCGTTAATGAACAATCCTAGGGGAGGGGTATCTCTAAAATTCTTATCACAGTACCGGTACCGTACCATTTGACAAAAGATACCGGTAACCTTTTTAATGGCCGAAAAAAACACGATTTTTGTGTTGCGAAATGTTCATATATTGTAAAGTTGCTCATTCAAAAAGAATTATAGTAAAAGATAAATAAAAAAAACACAAGCAAATCCCTCCTTAGCTATTGCGGGCCCTGTGCAAAATAAAAGAGTGGAAGTGGTGACTCCTCTACGGCCCATGGGCCGGGGCCACGGCCCATCAGGCTATGGGCCGCGGCCCATCAAGTTGTGTAAAGGGTCTAATCACTTGGCTAACACAGACAGTGACTGAACCCCTAACCCTAACCTGGTACCCTACACATAGCCTACTACAGGAGTAGTATGTAGCTTGGTATTTATTTTTATATAAATGCTTATCATAAGAAAAAAATTTGGAGGCATCCCGCGATTTTTTTTGGTTCGAATATTGACAATTTTGTGAAAATTTTTCCTGATGGGCCGCGGCCCATGTGGCCCAATTAGATAGGCCGTGGCCCCGGCACATGGGCTGTAGAGGAGTCACCACCCCTGTAGAAATAAAAAACGCCAACTGAAGAGAGAAATAATGAAAATTAGGGTTTTGTAATGCCATATAATGTAAAGTTGTACAATGGAATTAAATCATTTTCAGTAACAGTTAAATGGAAATACACTAATAACCTTAATAAACGTACACATTGAATATAAACTTTCGAAATGAAGTATAATTAGTGATTTGGCTCGGCGGTGTGCCGCATCGTGCTAAGCGTTAGGAATACGCTCGCCACCGCATATCTGATTACCCTTTGTGAGATCGCAGGTTCGAATCCCATGCAGGAATGATCATGTGCAAGATGAATTGCTGGACCCCCCGCCGCCGTAGGGTGGTTCACGTAGCCGCTGGTCGGTTACGTCTTCTTCCACCATCAAGTCCATGCTTCCGAAAACAAATAACTGGCTAACTAATCCCATACCCGACCTGGACTGGTAACCGGCCGTGGTTCGCCATATGATTAAGCTGTCTTATCGACTTTCCTCTCCCCGGGATAAATATGTAAATCCTATCTGAGATCAAAGATTATACACAAACATTATTGACACCACAACTGATTTACGGTAGTACATTTGTTCTGCATACACAAATCATGTTTTAAAAGAACATTTTTGATAATTTCGAACTAGTACACTACTCAATTATTGTTTTTAAAGTCCATAAGTCATACGGGGTTATAAGGCGTAGTGGCGCACCGTCAATAAACAGCTTTGATTGGGTTCCTATTAATACATAAGGTGCATTGGGCTAAAAGATCCGACGGGTACTGGTTTTAAGTGTATACAACAAAATAAAGGGTACTCCCGAAGTATGTGAACCAAGATGGTGGACACCGGTACATAGTATGTGTACCAGGTTAGGGTTTAGCCATAATTTTATTCCAATTTTCTTTATTTTTCAGTTTTATTACAAGTTCGGGGACTTATCAAGTGACGACCGTAGTATTTATACCTGGAATTATGGCCTAACCTGGTACACATACTACATTCCGCCGTTTCGGTGTCCCCCATCTTGGTTCACATACTTTGGGAGTACCCAATATAGCCCTACCTGATCCTGACATCAGGCACACCGGCTTACAAGGCGCACAATTTATTTTTAAGAAAAAAAGGGATTTCAAGTGCACTGTATGGTCCATAAAATGCAGTAGCCTAGTTTAATTCAAGAACATTTAAACTCGCAAATGGATTAGCCAAAAACACAGGTTTGAAATCAGTATCTCAAAGAGATAAGTAAACAATTGTCTTCCAGATGGAAACATTCATTCATTCGCATACCAAAGTGACACCCTTCAATATACAGGGTGTCCATAGTTCGCAATCTCGTACCAAAGTAGTTCAATGACACTGAGATCTCATACCAAAGTGACATCTTTCAATAAACAAGGTGTCTATACCAGTGCTTCTCAACCTTTTTCATATCGCGGCCCACTTTCACAAAGAGTTTTACTTCGCGGCCCACCTTTATTAAGGTTTTTTTTTTTTCGGGGCTAAAATAAGTCGAGGTAGGGTTGTCTAAAACGAATCAAAAATATGAATATCAAAGCATGTTCGAAGTATACGAAAATATTTTCGGCAAATTTTCAAATAATTCCAAATAATAGTCACTTTTAGCCATCAGCTAGGCGTTTCGAATTCAAGGGAAATCTTCAAATGATTTTCTGCATTTTTTCATGTATTCAATATACAGGGTGTCCATAGTTCGTGATCTCATACCATGGAGATTATATGACACTGAGATCACATACAAAAGTGACATCTTTCAATATACATTGGCTACTATGTGTTCTATGTTGAACATGACTCAATTTTGAATATTTCCGGATTGGGCCGTCTCTGCTTTAAAATTGAAATCAAATTGTGTTTGCAGACTGGGGTGCCTGGTGCCGGAGCCTGGTGCTGGGGTGACTGGTGTTGAAAGCATGGAAAAAATATGAATTCCTTCGATTCAATCTCTTTTCATTCTTTTCTTCAGAATCGTCGCTCTTTCCTCTTCTTCTTATCCTGGATTCACA